ATTAACAAAACATTAAGGCTTTCCACTGCAATCGTAGCTTACAATGAACACTTAAACTTATATTGACTCCTCGCATAGCCAGATTTCTTGGGCATTTATTTTCTGTGATGAAGTCACACATCTATTTCTGAAACATTTAGTGCTCAAGGGGACCAGTAACTTAATTGGAAAACAACAATGAAATGATAAAATATATCAGGGAAGTTTTCAAAGCAATTATTTTCTTTCACTAAAGATGGCAACAAAAGGAATAACAATGGCAAAACAGCTGGGAATTCACCCACAACTCCAAACAAAGCAAGGCAAGTTACAAAAATAAGCTGTGGGGAAAGATGATGACAGGAGTATTTTATTAATAGTTATTAATTTTTATGACTAGCATGTGAAACACCAAAGGAAAAGAATTAATGTTACTGGGAAATCATCACGAAGTTCATTACATTCTATTTTTATATCAGCTGAAACACTCTTTACTGGCAAAACACCTTATTGGTGCCTCACAAATAAATTATATTAATTGCATGTTGAGAATGGACCACATGCCCTGAGCCCAGCTCCATACAGGAAACATATATCCTGTTAAATAAACTGTCCCATTCATTAATACTTACTCAGAGCATGCATTGGATTTCATGGATACAAATATTTTATTTGCATGAAAACCCCTCAAAATTGTGCCAAATATGGGGGCTCCACAGAGATCACACTTACAAGCCTGTCAATTCTGTTAGACAACTCAGCACCCTCCTCACTACTCCCCATAAAAAGCATATAAAATAAGCTAATACCCATGCCAAGATAGAGAAGTGTGACCACCGTGCAACTGCTTTGTTTGCTCCAGATCTCACCCTACTGAGTCACAGTGCAGTAGGAGATGCACAAAAAAAGGAGGGTTGAGTCTTTATCTTGAAAATGAAGAAGTTGGAAGCTGCCAATGTTTGTTTCATTTCTATATGACAATGATAACTTTTTTCACTGAGAAAATACTCATGAGAAGAAAGAAAACTAAACAAAATGAAATGAAACAAAAAGAAAAGGCATTTCGTGTTGTTTTTTAATCTGTCAAACAATAACTTGGTGCCAGTTTCACCAGTGGTGCAGTTTTGCACGGTTCTACCCTGTGCCTATCTGGTGCAGTCACTCTGACCAGACCGGTAGAATGTCCTGCAGGATGTTTCTCCATTTCCACTGTTGTGGAGGGTTGCACTGAGCCCAAAAGCAGAGAGTCTTGAGATGCTTCTGGTTGTATCTAGTGAGTGAACTTTGGATTCTTTAGGCCAATTCTGTTCCTCTTCCAGTTGCATCCAGTCAGAATTGGGCTCCCTTGTGTTAGGTTCTGAACAAACACATAGCAAAATGTATAGCCCCTGTCCATGAGGAGGTCTGTGGAGCTATACAAAGTCTGTGGCTTTGCTGGCACCCGAAAGCTTGCAAAATAGGGGCCTAATGTATGCCAGGAAATACTGACAGGATGCAGTAAGCAACTAAGACAACATGGTAAGCAAAATTAGGGTCTATGGAGGCAAGACAACAGACAAGGTAGAGGGTGTTCAATCGTCTTACTTTTCTAAATAAATTGTAAGACAAACAAATGGCCAAAATGCTGTAAGTGATGTTCACTGTCCATTACCAAGCCATTAGCAGTGGACATTTCCTGAAAAATGTCAGTGCATATAAACAAGCTTAGAGGAAGCAACTGAAAGTGGCTGGTAACTGCAAGTTGAGGACCACCTGGGGAAGGAAGTTCTCTGCACAAGGATGAATACAAGAGATTGGTGCAGAGAAAATCCTATGAAGGCAGATTACAACAAAGACCATTGTCCAAGGTCCCTAGCTATATGGAGCCCCAGTAGGCTAAGTTAGAGTAAGTTACTCTGAGGGCGCATCTACACGTGCAATTAATGTGCCCAAATAAACCAGCCTATAGAGGGTCTTCGTCCAGCCCACGGCAGGTCCCTCTATCCCACCTGTCCCAGGCACCATTCAGCCATGGCGCATCTTGCCACCCCCTGGGCACACAGCAGGGTGGGTGCAACTCCACAGCTGGACTGCCTTTCTAGGCAGCCCAGGCAGTGGTGGCTCCTTCTGGCTGCCACCACTACTGGCCCCAGCCCCACAGTGCATAGCCCTGACCCAGCCTACCTGCACCTGCTCTGAGCAGCAGCGGCGGTCAGGTAAAAACTGTTGCTCGGTATGGGGGGAAAGCAGTCCCTCCCCTTTGCTGCTGCCAGGCGCTTCCTGCTGTAGCCACTGGGAGCCCAAACTGGGCTGTCCTACAGCTGCTCTGCGCTGCCACCGCTGCCCTGCTGGGCAGCCTGGAGGTGGCAGTGATGGTGGTGGAGAGTCAGGGCATCCTGTAGGCTCCAAGTGGCTGCAGCTGGAAGTGCCTGGCAGTAGCAAAGGGGACGGCTGCTTTTCCCCCGCACCAAAGAACAGTTCCTGCCTGGCCACCACCACTGCTCAATGCAGGTGAGTCTGGAGCAGGCACGAGGCAGGCTAGGTTGAGGCTATGCATGCAGGTCCCCACCAGTACCACGAGGCTAGGGCCAGTGGCGGTGGCAGCCAGAAGGAGCTGCCACTGCCTGGGCTGCCTAGAAAGGCAGTCCAGATGTGGAGCCACTCCAGCACCACTACATGCCCAGGGGGTAGCAGGATGCACCATGGCCAGATGGTCCAGGCCAGGCGGGATCGAGGAACCCACTGTGAGCTGGACAAAGACCCTCCACAGGCTGGATCTGGCCTGCAGGCCATATTTTGCCCACCCCTGACTTAGCCTCTGCCTGGGATCCTACTGGTAAGAACAAGCTGTAACTGAATTCAGTAAACCAGGGAATTGAGGCAAAATGAACTGGTCATAGCAACAAAGTAAGATAGTACCCTAGCAACAGGACAGATGGGTGTCCTGAAGGCCAGAGAAGAGGACATTATAGAATCAAGTCTAAGGATAACAAGAGATTGCAAAAGAATTTTCCTGGTGCTTGGTGCCCTCTCTTGACACAGGGCACAGCTATCACCAGGAAGGAGTACTACCAAATACTGGACTCAGGGCATCCACTCCCACTCCCTTGATCTTTGAGCAGACCAAGGACAAAGGTCATCCTATGCCTAGAAGCCCATTGTACTAGTCAACTAAGGCTCAACCATTCCTTTAGGCAAGCAGCACATGTGACCTCCTTTGATTTCCCCTGCTTGAGTAACCAGGAATGACCCATTTACAACTGGGTCAACTCAGAGTAGCCTTCAGCACAAGTCTAGAGCAAGATTCAAATGAACACCTCCGATGCTGTAGTGAGACATCTTAACCACACTGCCACTGCATTCCAAATCCTTTTGCTAAAAAGAGCAAATCCTAGCAGTAACCCACTGGCTAGCAGCTACTCCAGGACTCTTTGGAGAGCTGAACAGAAATGTACTGCTTGCTCTCATTGCCTACATCCACCTCACCCCGATCTTGGCCTCCTGTCACAGTTGTAGGGAACTACCCCCTCAAATTGACATTATATGGGTGTCCATCTGATTGCACATGGCCACAATTCTTTTATGGTCCTTATCTGTCTGCAGACGAGGTTCTTTAGTCTTATTTAAGCTCAACCTGACAAGTGGAGAGAGACAAAAAAGGGATGAGACTATGAAGTCACATGGCTGAGAAAAGTTTAATGGGAAAAGTTCGCTTCTACTAGGATCATGTGTATGTAGTGGGATTGTGTGTGTGTTATACCGTGCATGTGTTTGTGTGTACATGCGCACCTGCTAGTATTTTCTTAGTAATAAATAGCATCACAGTGTTGCTAATTCTCATAATCCTGTCATGCATCTTGCAACAGTTTCTCTTAAGTCCCCAGTTCTTTGAACTGAGAGAGTCCAGGAGAATCCTGAATTTTCTTTAAAGGTTTCTAGTCCTCATGGTTACAAAAAAAGATGGAAAACACAATCTACATGCAAATTTGTGTGTCAGAACCTAGGTGGTGAAAAAAAAATAAACCCAAAAAGGGCAGCTGACTGTCCAGGACATTTTAAGTCAATTTCCTGATTTCTGGGGGCCTGCTTCATGATATTTTGTATACCTGGAGTGAGGGTGGCCATGCTGATCATACATCATGTTTCTGAAGAGAGTGGACTTGTTCACTCACGGTGACCTGTTCCCCACTGAGATAACTGTTTAACTCTCTTCCTGCTATCTGGTTCTGCAGGCTGGGATCAGGACTTGCTAAATTCTTGCAAAAGCCACTGGCCTTGGGAGAGCTGAAAGGAATGAACCTGTGGGCTGCCTGCTTCATGTGCCTGCTGCTGGTCTGCCTGGACCTGCCTGACACCGACTGTCGAATCCATGAGCGATCCATGGAAATCAGGAGTAAGTCCCCAAATTAATTGCAGCAGCAAGGCCTAGCTAGTGAAGACAAGCATAGATCCCAAACAACAATGATCCCTGTCTCCTCCTTCCGACCCACTTCC